TCGAATATATTTAATATGAAAGAATTTAACTAAAGAAAATATAGCCTATCTTTAGAATGTTCGAGTTCTTGTATATTGGGATAATTCGTTCGAAAGAGAATTAAATAAAAATGTAATATTCGAATTCATGAAACAGCAGACTACAAATGTTGGTTGTATATTGTGTGTCTGAAAAGGCTGTCACATACCCTTCCCAAAAGTGACCAGTGTTTTGTGGCATCACTATACTAACGTACACGCTTACTTTTGTATCTAACTCCTTTAAAAAGTACTCCTGAATTTAGGCCTAATCAATCAAAGTAATTACAGCATTTAACCATGCAAAGTAATTAGACTTGCAACTATTTATCACAAGTTATAAACTATCAATAAACATTCTATTGTGCAACAGGATGAGTTTGAAATTAACACAGTGAATCCAAATGACATAATGTTGAGTTCTCCCTAAATTATGAAGCCATTTGAACAGACATCACAAGATTCACATTTAACTTTTCCAGGATTCAAAACTAAAATAGGAACTTTTCTCATGCATAGATCATTTACGATGGAACGTGTGTTGGAGTGTTTGATGAAGTATTTTTTATCATGGATTACATCACCATCCTAATCCCTAGAAAGGTCTTCTGCGTACAGTGTTTTAGTTCAATTTTCCTTTAAGCTGAATCCCCAAAGAACTTGCTTTTGACACAGCATGCTGGGATCTTACGAAAACCACATCTTTCTTCACTAGTTGCATTTTTCTTCTTTGACATTCAACAGATTTCCGCCCCCCAGTGGCACAGCGGTATGTCTGCGGATTTACAACGCTAGAATCCGGGTTTCGATACCCATGGTGGGCAGAGCACAGATAGCCCATTGTGTAGCTTTGTGCTTAATTACAAATAACAACAACAATAACATATTTCCTTCTCATCCGGGTATCTCCATAGCTGATTACAACAAACAACTTTTGGTCTTTGTTCCAGCTCTGTGTAATATGTTACATTGTGTCGTTGATAAATTTTATCATGGCGTATGAGCATTCCTTCGGTCAACTCGAATTTGTCAATCATTATACACCTTTTATAAAACTCGAACTTTTCAGCGTTCTATCTTTTCACCACTTTATTGACATAAAAAAGCATAGGCAGGTACAATGCATTACCTCATATAAATGATGTTATCTGTGCTGACTTATCTTTTTCAGGGCAACCATAGAAGATGTACACCAACGCCTACAGTTCTAGATCAACATAAGATACTTTGGTGTTTCGTTTATAGCTTATCAGGTTCAATTTCTGTAGTTCATTATCTAGAGTTGTAGTTTCTTATTACTAACATTTCATGCATTTCAGAAAAAGAGGCAATGTTCTACTATTGATTAAAATGTAGTTTTCTTGTTACTCTATTCATAATTAGCTGGAGTACCCGTCCACTTGACGGAAGTTACGAAAATTCATGATTTATGAAAGGTTATCTTAGGACATGAAAAGTTGCTTCCCTTATATGTAATTGTAAAAAACGCCTATGAAAACAAAATGTGAAACTCCACATGGACCCAACAAACCTTCATGCCAAATTTGGTGAAGATCCATCAACAGAGGACGAAGTAGTGGTAAAAAACGCCCGTGAATACCGCAAAACGCAAAATGTAAAACTGAAAATTTGTATGCATTTCCCCGTGGACGCAATGAGCCTCCATACCAAATTTGGTAAAGGTCCATACACAGGGGGCGAAATAGTGTTAAAAAATGTCCATAAAAACCACAAAACGCAAAATTCAAAGCTGAAAAATTGTGTGTAATCCCGCATGGACCTAATGAACCCCCATACCAATTTTGGTGAAAATCCATCCACACCCTGCGAAGTAGTTACATAGACATACAACAGACAACAGACCGTGAGTACTATTATATTTATATAGATACAATCTCACATATTCAGTTTTTCGGTTTTATTCCGTATACTTCAGGCCTCGTAGTAAAATAGTCTAACATTATTTTGGCGTATTTGTTTCCATCATTCGACTGTATTAGAGGACTAGCCAATGAGATGAATTGGATCTGAGATATTAACAGCTACTTAATAAAGTTTTGTGGGCAACACGACCCACTAGCTAGTGCTTTGGACTTGTAGACGTAAGGTTGCAAGTTCTAAACTTGTTCGCGACATGCCCTCATGTCTTTAAGTCTATCTAGTTGTATAATGGGTACTAGAAGGTAGGTGTAGGTTAACCTGCAGTGGAGTGACACATCGTCCAGTGTAGGCGTGGAATTGATTTGACTTTGACTTAATCAAACTCTGCTTCAATAGTATACTTGTTTTTGTATTGTTTTTCTCGTCCTATTACTTTAAAACACGGGTCACGAATTTGGCACTACTTTTCCACATATCAGAGCCATCCAAACCATAGGATATTTTGCATCTCTTTCCAATGTTTTTGATCACTAATCATACCGAGCTATTGGGAGATTATTTAGATGATTGAGTGCTTTTGATTATGGTGATATTCAAAGTACCAACTGCAAAATTTTTGTGACCTTCTTTACCTGATAGCTATCAAGCATAATCTTGTGTCTGAGTTTAACTTAGTTTAACCTTACAACTGCGGTTGATATCATATGATGTTAGCGTAGGCGACTGCAGTTGACATCGTATGATGCAAGTATTTTGCGCGCAACATTTTGAATGGCCCGCCGCAAAAATATGCGAATACTTGCACATGGGGTGGGAGGCAGATTTACAGAAGCCGCAAACGAAGGGTTAACTGTAATTAATTCATCTTTGATTGATTAATGTAGAAAGTTTACTGTCTACTAACAGTGTTTCTGCTTCACATTTAATCCACTTGATTTTATGTCCAGTGTTGTATTCTTTATTCAGGTCTCTTGAATTTGTATTGAAGGCCATATAATTTAATATTTAAGTTGAAAATGAAGTTTTATTCCAGACTGACTCCTATTTTATAATGCCCTTGTCCGTCCGTCAGTCCCGACCTTGTGGACAGGATATCTTAATGTTGGATGGCTGTATTTTGACTAAATTTATATAATCGGTAATGCATACAAATCCTACATGTGATTATCTTTCGAAAGTCCCTGGTACATAGAAAATCTTCCCCAATCTTGGGAACACAGTATTTCAATGCAGAATAAATGGATGTTGGCCAAATTTATATAGTAGGTAATACATACAAAGTTCTAGATCTGATTACCTTTCGCAAGTTAAGGGTCAAAGGTCAAGATCAATCGAATTGAGAGGCATAAACATACAGTATAACATTAGTTTAGAATTGGTGTTTCATAAACCAAATTTACACTTGTTTTACTTAAAATTTAAAACATTCATTCTTAAGTGTGACTATTGACTCGTAGTCCATTTACTTATCATTCAAACCTATTTTTTAAGGAGAGCTGTGTTTTTTAGTCACAGTTGTTCATTACAACAGCGAAAATGTCCACTTTATTATCTTTGACGTAACTGGCATCTTCTGGTATATGATGATAAAGTTTGATGTCTTTTGTAAAATATCCAGCGTTGGATAAATTTCCCTAATAAACTTCCATAGTTTCTATTTAGACATTGATACCTGAACTGGTTTTTTGGCCTCCAATAAGCAATATTTATAATTTTTCTCAGTTCTAACATCTTATGTTAAAGTAGTTAGACGTGGATGTCATTATCTTGAATTATTTCCCGTTTCATTAAATCTATGTTCTCTCAAAGGCATTTCTTAAAAGAAAACTGAGCAAGAAATTCACTTCTTTAGCAAATTAATAGTGTTTATCTTTTCCTTTCTTTTTCAAGTGCTCTCTTAATCGTTTTTTGGAACACTTGTCAGTGATGCTATGACCAGACTTTTAAGTTAAACAATAAGATTACTAGCTCACTGATCATCTTTCCATTCATTCATTTGAGAAATAACCCAAGTCTAAATACCACATGCTTCTCTCGGAACTTTTCTCATCAATAACCCCGGTCTAAATACCACATGCTTCTCTCGGTATTTTGTCATCAATAACCCCAGTCTAAATACCACATGCTTCTCTCGGTATTTTTGTCATCAATAACCCAAGTCTAAATACCACATGCTTCTCTCGGAACTTTTGTCATCAATAACCCCAGTCTAAATACCACATGCTTCTCTCGGAACTTTTGTCATCAATAACCCCAGTCTAAATACCACATGCTTCTCCCGGTATTTTTGTCATCAAAAGCTATTGTAGTTTCTATATGCTAGAAAATACTGTGAAACTTTTGGTGCCAGAAATAGTTGTAACCCTAAATAGTGTTGTTAGGTAAGTCCTTGTGATGCTTTCAATTACAGGAAACAGTAGATAAACAACATGACCCCTATAAACGTTGCTTTGATAATATGGTATAATAATTGTAAGACCCACTAACTGAAATTTCATGGCACTGGCTAAGCGATTCATACCAAAAGTTTTTGTGCTGTATATGACCATTATATTTTACGGTATCTTCTTTTTTGAACCTTTGATCGTAACATTTTATTGTCCAGTGTTTTTCAAGATTATTGATAATGTTGTGCTGTTTTGTTACATTTTGTTTTGTATTTTATAAAAACTTCTCTAGATTTTTGTTTTATTCTTATTAGTGTTCTGTCTCATTGCTAAGCACGCTCTTCAAGCATCTCAACATAGCTAGTCGTATTCTTCTACTTGTTACAGTAGCAAGAACTACAAATGTTCTCAGATTCTAAGCAACTAGCCATAGCCATTTTCACTTTGAATCCAACTCCTGCAACTAAGTTGTTTTAGATTTTCGGTATTTTTCCCATAATGTTATTTATTCTTTAATAGATTTAGTTTCATTCTTTTTATTAATATGGATATTTCCCTTTGTGTATATCTATTTTATAGCTTGCAGTTCTAATCGGTTTCCGTTTCAAAAAGTGTAAGTTAGTATATATTTTGTAGTTTCATTTTATATCTCGCAAGTGTAAATTTAGTGTTTACAGGTCTTGATTATGAATATTTATCTGGCTTTCCATACAGTGTGTGGGGTTCACTTACCAGCCGCCAAAATTTCTTCTCAGTGGAACCCTGGTCCGCCCCCTGCTGGGCCCACAACAACACCTTCTAGGGGTGGTGCTCAAGTGCCAAACACAGCGCCCCCTACTGCTACTCCAGCACCTCCTCCACCTGACGTTACCGGATCAGATGACAGTAACAGTAAAGACAGTTCTTCCAAAGTTGATCTGGCAAATTGTGAGGGTGATGGGGTTTGGAGTCCAGATATTGAACAAAGTTTTCAAGAAGCCCTTGCAATCTATCCGCCATGTGGTCGGAGAAAAATTATTTTGTCAGATGAAGGTAAAATGTATGGTAAGTCGGTGGTTTTTACATTTTGTTCTGAAACCATATATTGGCATATAATAAATAGTAATGAAAACATTTATGTACCACGTCTTCTTGGTAATGTAAAGTACTATTCAGGATACTAAAATTGTAGTTTAATTTGGCTATTTGTAATTTTACATTGCCTTGTGGCCCGCCATGGCCAGGTGGTTAGGGAGCTCGACTCGCAATCTGCGGGTCGCGGATTCGAATCCCCGTCCCACCAAACATGCTCGCCCTTTCAGCCGTGGGGGGCGTTATAATGTTACGGTCATTCCCATTATTCGTTGGTAAAAGAGTAGCCCAAGAGTTGGCGGTGGGTGGTGTTGACTAGCTGCCTTCCCTCTAGTCTGACAGTGCTAAATTAGGGACGGCTAGCGCAGATACCCCTCGTGTAGCTTTGCACGAAATTAAAAAAACAACAAAAAACATTGCTTTGTTGCTGTGGTATCTACGGTGATCGCCAATATAATAAAGTATCTGTGTAATAATCACCGATATTTTTCTGTAGATACTTTTGTTCAGCATGTATTATTTATGTAAATTTTTGGCGAGTTTAACTTACGCCATTTAGTTGTTACTACAACATTTTGAATGATAACCGTATTTATCCTTAAGATTACTGCAATCAAGTAATGCATACTAAAAATAGTAAAATAACAACAGTTCCTTCTGGTTCAGTTTTAAGGCAAATCAATACTTAGTGATTATAATTTAACTTTACCATACTCAAGCCCATTCTTACATTTTGTTATCAAGCCATAAACTATTTTATATATTCCATTCTACATTATATTAAATTTCAAATATTTACTTTAATACTACATCAAGACGTACAATACTAGTCAAAAGCCAGATTCTGTTTTGTTGACTTGCATTTTATATTTATCATCAGTGTTAGAGTAATAGACATATAAAGGGTAGGATCTGACCTAAAATCAAAATTGTGATTTTTAATGATGAATAGGAAGCATTAGAACTATTATTTTAAAGAACCAAATCACATTAGTTATGGAGATATTAATTATGAAATTATACCTCCTGGGTTAGTAGGCCATCAATGACTGTTTTTAGTTTTCAATGACAATACAGTTAAGTATGAGAATGAAAACTTATTTTACATTACTTATCTGTTAGCTACACAGAGAACTGTTGAAATAATAAACTTTACTGAGATCGATCACACTTTTTTATGCAGTGTTGATAGGTAAGGCAGACAGACACATGTACAGCTGTAAACTACAGTGGGCCTACTATGTCCTTAGATTATTTTGCAGTTGTAGCATTCTTAGCTACATCAATTGTTATTTCTCCCATACTTGATCTATATGGCCATTATTTGTAAGCGAAACAGCAATAAAGACTTAAATATAGTGTAAACACTCATCTCTAAGGGCTGTGACCTGGTGCCCTCAACCTTTTGTAAATAAAGCTGAATCTAGGTCACATATCACATGAAATATATTGTTAACTCAGGCACTGGCTCTGCTGCAGTTCATCTTTGAAATATTCCACCTAGTAGCAATAAGCTTATAAAACAAATACAAACACACATCCACTTCTGCTTTCAATAATTTAAGGCTGGGGTTGGCTATTTCATTTATTGGTGGCTATTCCATTCATCATTATGGCATGGCCTATCTAGCATTAAATAGATCGTTCAACATCAAATAAATAAATAAATAAATTTGATAAAATAAACTTAACTTGACTGTAATTGAGAAAGAAAAAATTAGTCATAAAAACTGGGAAATTGTGTGGTATGCAGGCATACCATATATTTTCTACTTTCTCATCTTAATATAGAAATTTTCCAAAGTTTTCGTATAGTTTGATTCCGTGACGTTTCCTCATAAACATGTAGTCTAGAAAGCCACTGAGTGTTTTAGTTCTAGTTGCCTGTGTTTCTTTGTTGGTCTCTAGTAGATAATACCTGTTCACCCATGCATGGATAGATGCTGCAATATCATACATTGTGAAAGCACATCAGTGACAGCAGTGTCCTTTGCTGTCCGAGTAGATGATATCTAGAGGTTATGGCCATCACTATATTATATGAAAACGATCAGTTTTTATGTGTAAATCCAATGTTTTCTCTTGCATTGAGACTTTTGTATTTGGTTTTCCAAGTGAGTCAGACGATATAAGGACACTTTTAAAGACAAAAAATGTTGATTCATTCAATAATCTGGTAGGAAGCGACAGTCCAGTGTCTACTTCAAATATGCATACCATTTTTGTGCTTTGAATTAACACTAAAGATTATTTGACACTTTATGTCGCATGTCCAGTCTGTTTATTCTCTTAGATTAAATCTCGGTCATATGTCAAAATCTAGATTTACTTCATGATTTTCCTTACCAATTATCATATTTTAAAGGGGACCCAACTAATACTTGTGTGGAGATAATCTTTGCCTGAGAATACCACAGACTAGGTAGAAAGGAAAAATGTTGGTGCCATAGATACAGGATTTATTGTGGAGTTTCAGACTTTGCTAATGTAGTACTGACCTTTATTCGATCTCTTGAGTATAAGTGAGTTTAAAGAAATGCTTTTACTTAAAGAATGGCACATTCTCAAGGTAGAAATAGTCTCAAACAAGAGGAAATGTTTGTCATCATAGAGAAAGGAGCAATTGCACAATAGAATGTTGAGTCCCAGGGAAGTCCTCTCCTGGATGCAAGACTTATCAATGATGCAAATATTCCTGTCGTCAATCATCTTTAAACTGCAGGCTCAGAATGATTAGTCAATGTTTGATTCACTCAGACCATTAGATCAAACCTTGCCCATAAAGATTTATCTTGGCACAATTGAAGGAATGATGATTAAGGGTTGCTGGGATGGAATGATGTTTGGTGAGTACAAGACCATTTGGAAAGGTCTTTATAGGTCTTCCAGGCTGTCACCAGCCAGAATACCCTAGCCACTGTTCTGGTCCAGACCATTTACAACTAGCTGAAAAGGACTAGAAATACTACTGGCAGACAACCTCCACCTGAATGGTTTCCCTAGCATGTGAGAAAATAGGCACTACCAGTTAAAAACCATGAACCATGATACAGTAATGAGCCTCTCTGAGCTGAGAGATATCTTGTAATGATGACCATGGCTATACAATGAGATATCATGAGCATCTTGTCACCCTGCTGCCTTGGACCAGAGATTGATAACTCAGCTGGGTGTGAAAGTTCCGGAGAATATGTATCACCCTGCACATGCAAATTTGATGGCATCTCAGCCAGGCATTGGTTAAAAACCCACACCAAGATAGGTCCCAGTGAGTGAGGTAAAGCAAATCCTCCCCATCCTCCCCAGTGTTTAAGGGAATAGTTAAAAAACCTTAACCATTTCTTGAAATGGCTCAAAGCACTTGCCTGGAATAATTGGACTCAGGACCAGGCAGTCTATTGGCTTATCCTTAGCTTGGATGGTCTAGCCTCGGATACCATTGAGTATTTTGACAAGACATAACAATAAGACTTAGACACAGTGTTATCCAAGTTTTGCCATCTGTTCAACCCTGTAAACGATTGAGCTATTCATCAGGTGAGATTTAATGCTCAAAAATCGAAGGTCTTACCAAGTATATGGATGATCTGCATTTGCTTGCATAGTAAATTTACATTGCAATGTCAACATCAGATCAAGAGGACATTATGGTATATTATCTTGTCAAGGAACTTCCTGGTGAAGCCCTGAGGCACTGCTTAGATGTGAGAGACATTCACATCTTGACAAGAGTAGTTTCTAGCGTGACACAGTATGAAGTACTAACTTTGAGCTGATGATTAGAGAGGGAAAATGTTACAGCGATAGCTGTAGTGGTTATACTTTAGACACCACAATCCTCCTCAAATCTGGCATTGGCATCTTCAGGATGGATGCACTGTGGAAATCATATGCCAGCTTTCCCTGTGCAATGGACGAACCAATGTTATCCAGAAAGCAGGCAGCATTAGCTCGGATAATTATCTGCCTGATAAGGAATGACATTCTGGTGTTGTTTCATAATTGGCAATCAGCTACCTCATTGCACACTGAAATGTTTTTAGGTGTTGTAAATGAAGTAGATATAACTGACGCTAGTAGCAATGCTAGGGTTGCATTTGTCACACTGTTGATGAAAGCAATTATATGGCTAACAACACATCATAGGTCGTTGGTTTAGAATTGAAACAATCTAAACCTAATACAGCAAAAGCAACTCACTAATTTATTGGTTGAAATGCCAATGAATTGTTGGGACCAGATTGGGGATTGGGTGAGAGAGTGGTGACTCACTTAGATATAAGTGACACACATCCAATAAAGCAAGTGCATGCCAACTTTCTTGGAGGGCTAGGAATGTCACCAGTGATGAAATACAGTGAATGTTGAAGAACAGGGCCATACAACCTTTAGATAGTGTTTGGTTATCTCCAGTTGTAAGAAAAAATAGGTATGTATGCCAAGGTTCTGTGTTGATTTTAGAAGAGTAACTCTCGTTGTCTTTCCATTACTATGTACAGATGAATGTCTGGATGTGTTCAATAGTTATTGTTGGTTCAACACTCTGAATATGGTATCTGGATACTGGCAACTGAAGCTAGACAACGAGAGCAGACCTAAGAGTACTTTTAGCATAAGAAAAGATATGTATGTGTCTGCCTTTTTCAACAGGCTAATAAAGGTTACATTGAAACAGGTGTAAAAGAGGAGGTGTCTGGTCTATGCCTAATAGTTAATACGGTGGTGGAAAAAAGTCTCTTGTTTATAAGTTTGTTTTTACAAAGACATAAAAGACAATCTTGTTTAAAAACTATGGGATCTATATAATATAACAAAATAAGAGTTTAGTATTTTTCAAATCTTTACAAAAACACTTTTGTATGATAATTTCTAGACCCGAATTCAGTTATTTTTGCAAGTAACATGAAATATATATACTGTCATTATGTTAATCCAACTGTTAAAAATTTCAAGAACAATCATTAATATAAACG